ATATTTACAGCTCGGCCCGAATGCACCGGTACGCAGCGTATAAATTAATTTTACGATACGCGCGGATCCAGCACGGTTTCACACGATATTTCTTTCGATGGCGCGGATGTTACTCTGCGGTTGGCAATGTACCGTTCCAAAAATACATTTTATTGTGTATTGCCCAAGGGCGGCGCGAGGTGCGCGCACTGCAGGCAGCGAGGCGAGGACGGGCGGCGAGCCGGCCGTCAGAGCCCCGAGCCGTCATCAAAAAACTTTATGAAGTGATTTTAATTAATTTTCCAACGGTACAAACGCTGTAAAATCTGACCGCGAACGGTTCCCGGCATTACGGTTGGATTTTTATAACGTACGCTGTGAAGCGTGCGTAACGCGGTCGACAGAGGCTATGCGGCGCTCATGACGCATGGTTACGGAACGTATTTATCCAACTGCTGAAGGGGAGTAATATGAAAGCAGCCGCAAAGTGCTTGCTTGCATTTTTAATATGAAGGATGGGACTTTTTATAATGGAATAATAATCACGATCACGATGGACAAACTGACTGCCTTTTCATTCTCACCTATCATCCCTACTGGTGCCCCCTCCAGTGTATACCGATATCGCAAGCGGGCTTACCATTGCATTATCATCCATTTAAAAAAAAAACTATAATGCCTACAGTACCTTTAATGTGTCCTCATTCTTGAGAACTATGTCCTCCACACTCAGTAATTTAGTATATTGTATGAGAAATAATTCTCGTAACAAGCAATTTAGAGTGGTACCTTGCACTTTGGTTGTAATTTGTTAAGAGAGGGACTGGCTGAAAACCAGCGTTGTGCAGCTACAGACCTAGCGCTGGGACAGTCACAGCATCAGCTGAGCCGGTTCCTTTTGCCTAGTACGGGACACTTCTTGTATTTTCTATATTTTCTATTGTAATTGTGTGTTTACTGGCAATAAATGTATTCTATTCTATTCAGTAGATAATTGCACTGCCGTACCGCAATTTCCAAACAGAAATCCAATAAACCGGTCACGGTTACTATGTCAATATTTAAAGCAATTAAATTTTCCCATTACTTGATTGAAGTGCATTACAACCGTAATACGATGCACTGACAAGGCCGCAGTAAAATGTTAGGATATTTCTATAATTACTTCAAAGTTTACAGCTCACCGTTTACTGCAAGTAAAATTGCAATTTGTCAAAAGCGTGAAATATTATGTACTCTTAACGCCTACTACAATATAGAATTACTATTGCTAATAGTTTTTTTTATGCAACTTAGTATGGCGAACAAGCTGACGGCCCACCTGATGGGAAGTGGTGACCATGTCATATCAGCGGGAGACTTTGTACAAAAGTCGATTGCTTGGGTACCTCTGTCGCATTCGTGTTTCAACCGTAAAGCAGTTGTGTTTGCATGGCTGTGTTTCGGTTTGAAGGGTGGGATATGGCGTAAATTTACAGAAATAACACCTGAGTCCTCAGGAATGGCAACACATGGGGGGTATCATGGGCGAAACAGTATATTCTGTTATGTCCATAGTACTGCTCATGTCTATAGGCGACGGTTACCACTTTCCATCAGGTGGTTCGTCAGCTTGTTTGCCATTCTAAGTAGTATAAAAAAAGCCATTGACTGTCCATTGCTGGAAATAAGCCTCTCCTTATTGAGAGAGTTTTGCCAATAGCTGCCACGCTTGGTAGACACATTGGCAACCGCATTTAGGTTATAGGGATATCCCCATACCTAAATGCGGATTTAAATATTTAAATAGGGAATGATGTCCATTCCTCGACTATTAAGTTTATTTAATCATCTCTTATAATACCCACAGGAAAGTGAAGTACAAAGAAAAGTGTGGACCATTCTATGCCGGGACCACCATACTGGTAAAACCACTCTTATGGAAGATACCTATGTTCAGCAATGGACAGTTAACAGCTAATATGACGAATGGAGTCGCCACTTCGCAATCTTAACAATTCCTTCATTCCTATGTTTCAATATAAAGACATATACGAATACATATAGCGTAAATGGGTAGGGTCATGTTAAAATATCGACTTTCGTTACGTAAACTTGATTGCGTGCGATTGTACGGGTGGCAGTAGATGGCCACTGGCCAGTGCAGGTCTCGAACCTGTTGATTTATTGAGTTCGGAAGCTTGTTGATGTCCAAGTATTTTTTTTTTTTATTGTAATATATTGAAATAAGTACGTATCGTATTATGACAGATATAAGTGAAATTCCAAACACTGCACGGGAAATCACTACATAGTAACTGCCACATGATAGTAACTGGCACTGCTCTTATATTGTCGAGATAGGGAAATGAATCTGTGTAACCATCTAGAAGTATTAACACAATTTAATAAATGTATTCATAAAAATTTGTGGCCGCGAGTACTATTTCTGTACCACACAGTGGATGCAGGTGGTTCAGGACCGTTCTTTATGGCGGTCTATGGGGGAGGCTTATGTCCAGCAGTGGACTAATAATAACTGAAAAGACGAGTACTATTTCATCACCATATCTTTACTGTCTACCATTGAACATAAGCCTCCCTCTTTGGGGGGCTTTTCCAATACTTGCTACGTTATGCAGGTGGATTGGCAACCGCAGTTAGGCTTTGGAGATGTTTTAAGAGGGGCGCTGCTGTCTATCCTTCGCTCTTTCTAGTCGACACACTACGACAGCCACGGGTAAGAAAGGGGTGGCCTATCCTAAGCCGGGATCACACGGCGAGAGTACTGTTTACAGTCTATGAATTTGATCTTGCCAAGAGTTTATTTTTCTTAAACGAAAAGAAATCTTGTTAATAGTCTAATAAAATGTGCAATAAAATATTTATTATTTAATGCATTGTTATACCGTACAATATTCAAGTGGAATGTAAGGTATGTTTACTGAAGATATGAAAGCTTGCCAAAATCAACTAGCTAGTCGTTTATTTATTTTATTTACTTATTTACAAGAAACACGATAAGTGTATAGATGTTACAATAAGTATAAGTCCTCATATTTTGCCATAATTAGGCATGCAAATATTAACTTAAAAAAAAGAATAAATGTTAAATAATTCATTAAAATTCGAAATGTTATATAAAAAAAAATACATCAAAAATGTCAGACACTTGTCAACAATAAAAAAGAAAGAAATGTCACTGTCAAACCATGGACCATGGTTTGACATTTCTTTTCTTTATAAGTATGAACCATGGTTTTCATACATAGTCATTTAAACAAACATACTTATCACCTAAAAGATCGATAATTAAGGTAAGTATTGTAAAAATTAAGTTACTGACACTTCATTGTCATTATATCATTCAGTCAATCATTTATTTGTATAAACTTAGGTTCAACTTAGGTTGGCAACTGCAGTTAGGCTTTGGTCATGTTTTAAGACGCTGCTGCTCATCCTTCAACATTTAAGTTTCCTTAGTCGCCTCCTACACACCTACAGGAAAGGAAGGGACGGCCTATCTCATTCCAGGACCACACGGTACAGAAAAAGTATTTAAGAATGACTTAATAAATTTTATGTAATTATAAAATGCCAATATTTATAAAATACTGTAATCAAGTTTATTACTTTAAGTTATTTTTAATAAAACCTTTTTTTTTTGTTTAAACAGTTGTACATGATATTGTAGTAAGACATCAAAACATGCATTGAACACCAGCCCGTCGCTAGTTTAACCTTTTTGCGGTGAGACCGTCGAGTTTTATGTCTAACTCGTTCCTAGTTTTATATCTATGCCTTATCGCTAGAGATTCGCAGCTCGAGTCGGCCGTTAAACAGCTGTTTGCTCGGGACGGTCGCGTGCGAGCACTGCGACGGAGCACTACAAAATATACATATTACACGGATCGTTCGGTTTTTATTTATTCACATTTGCATACGCCTGGACTACCTACTCGTTTTTCTACTGGACGCTTCAACATTACGTGTCAGGGGGACTTCTAGTCGCATTGCTAGCAATATATCGACCTGCCCGTGGTCCCTCTGGAAACAATCGTGCTGAATTCCAGGTGTACTCATCACGATGGGCTCACTGATTTGCCCTTTCGTTTTCACCTATCATCCCTCACTGGTGCCCCGCCAATGTATACCGTTAGTGCAGGCGGGGTTACATTATCATTCATTGAAAAAAAAAGAAAAAACATCACGTGTCTGTCCACACAGACCGACTCGGATAGAAAATCAGATTTTGATCGAGTTTAAAGTTTTTTAGAATCTTAACGTCATTGAAATAAAGTTTCTTTTTCCATTTGTTATCCTTCACAGTATTCCGCTAGTTTAATAGCGTAAACTGGTTGTCCAATTTTACTATTGCATTTCATCTATTTCTCGTTTAATTCTGGCGTAGAATAGGCCACCCCTTCCTTTCCTGTGGGTGTCGTAAGAGGCCACTAAGGGAGGGCGAGGGATGGGCAGCAAGTTCCTTTTTAAAACATCTCCAAAGCTTCACTGTGGTTACCAATCCGCCTGATAAGCGTGGCGAATCTTTGGTTTGATATTTCTTATTGCAAATTAGCAGGTCAAAAGCTTATATAAAATATATATTTATCATTTGAGAAATATATAGGTTCGTATATATTTCTCAAAATTAACTTGAAACTAGATGGCGCTCTTTGTTACATAATACCTTAAAAATAAAACTTACATAAAAATAACAAATAACATCATTACATCATTAGATGTTTAGAAATCAGTGTTAAATTTACAACTAAATTTATGAGCACTATTTAAGCGATCTTTTTTTTTGTGGTTTTGATTTTTTTTTATATTTTTATATATATTAACTGATTGACCGCCAAACGTCGTTTTACCTTCTACCGCCATCTACCGGCCTACTTTGTCTTATCAGTAAAATAAGTATCTTATCTCAAGTTAGAGCAAAAAAATCATTAAAATCGATTTATTTTTGGAGATTAGCGTGAACGAATATCGTAACATGGAATTTTGTATAATAAATAAATAATTCTAGTAATACTTACATTTATAACTACTCTCTCGCAAAAGTCGTGATCGTGTTGTATTGGTTCGAATGTAACGACTCCTCCTTGGGGTGGCCGTCCAGTTTCTTCCTCTTGACTGCAAAGTTTCGGCAGCGACCTGAACAAAATATTATTGAATTAGTTACATGTCTTGTATACTGTGCAGAGGAGTGGGGATGCTTAGTAATATGTTGCTTAAGGATGGCATTTAGATAGCCGTATGGTCCCAGCATAGAATGGACCATCCGCGAGTGTCATAAGAGGCAACTACGGGAAGTTTATAGTTAGGTGTTTTTTTTTATTCAACTTGGAATGGCAAACAAGCTGACGGCCCACCTGATGGAAAGTGGTAACCGTCGCCTATAGACATGAGCAGTACCATGGACATAACAGAGTACACTGTTTCACCCATGATACCCCCCATGCGTTGCCATTCCTGAGGACTCAGGTGTTATTCCTCCGTACCCAGTAAATTCACGTGTAAGGGATGGGCAGAATCTTCCCTCTTAAAACATCACCAAACCCTAACTGCTATTAAAATACCAAAAAAAATAAGTTTATAAGGATATCCAAAGATATCGATGACGTATCAGAATTCATAGAGCACAGTCAAGCGGATAATGTTTTAATCAAAAACGTTGGTTGCTTGTCGGGAACTCGTTTGCATAATTATTATTTTAATATTTAACAAACAATCAAGTTTTACATTTAGAAGATTATTTTTCCTGTAAGTTAATATTTAATCTTGACGTATTTAAAAAAAAATACAGTTCGCGCGTCTTACATGATGGTAAGTGACTACCACCGCCCGCCCATAAGCATCTGCAACACTGTAGGCATTGCAAGTGTGCTGCCGGCCTTTTAAAAAGGAACATGCACTTTTCTTGAAGGTTATGTATATATATATATATATATATATATATATATATATATATATATATATATATATATATATATATATATATATGTATGTATGTAATTTTTGAATTCTTGTTTTAATTTAATATTGTTTACTACATTGTACCGTCGACTGGTAGATAATGCCATAAGGTTAAGTCCGCCATTTACACTTTCTAAATATCTAAGTTTAATTAATAAATAAATAAATGTTAGTTTTCGAATATTTTTTTCGAAGCTTTGCTTATTTTGAAATTATACGGACTGTGTAATAAGTCGAATGGTATTTATTATTTGAGGGTGATAATTGATTTCCACCTTTCAAGATTTCGTATACGATACAAAGACTTACAGTATTTATGCCAATAATAAGAACACTGTTGCGCAATGAGCGCAAAATGCCGAGAGTAGATATTTCATGAAGAAGTCGGACGTGCTCAAATACAAGCCAGGGTTAGAGAGCCCTCCAGTTTACCCGCCAACCATTTTTCGCTGCAGCGATTGCTTTCTGCCCTGTTAACCTTTAACAATAGGGTTGTCCAAATACGGTGTCTATATTTTCACACACCTTGTCTGCTTTGGTCTATCTAAAAGTTTATATTTTATCTCTGGAATGTCTTATAAAGCAGCCAGTGAGAAAAACGGCCATATGGTTTACTTGGTATCTCGAAACAAAAACCATTTAATTTTAGCAACCATTATTTAAATATACATGTATTTTAATTTAATTGAAAAATATAAGTAAAAATGACAGATTATAGTTGAAAATTCATAAAACATAATACGACTTAAAAAAAGAAATCGGTAACATTCTTAGACGGTTAAATTTTCTATTTGTTTCTATTATTTTTTTAATTGACGAAGATGGAACCGTGCATCCGTTTGTGCTAACGGTAGACAATGGCATCAGTGTAGAATGGAACGATGATGACGAAGACAGGTTACTTGGCCAATCCTGGCGGTTTCGGTAGGGTTACCCACGATGGATTTTCTAAGGGGATTACGGAGAGGCCGGCCTGACGCCATGACGGAGATTATTGTTTCAATTACTATCAATCCATCCTATCTCTTATATGTTACTATCAGTAGGCTTGTGAAGTGACAGCCCTGTATAAAGTGGTATTGGGAAAGTGCTGCGTTGCGCTGGACTCAGCACTAGACGCGGTGAGGGTCCAACGAGCGTTGTTTTTCTAGGCGCCTTTTATCGTGAATCGCTCTTCATACCACTCAAGATAACGTTTAAAAGATAATTCGATGAATTAAATACTCAGCAAGCAACAAGACCGTTAGCCAGAAATAGGTGAAGATCACTTTTAAGGGTCGCCCAAACGATGGATAATTTTTAGCGTACATATTTATCCGTTATATTAAAGCACAGAGAATGCGTGAGCGCGTGTTAGAGTTGTCCACCGGTTGTCTGTCGGTGATATATAGCAATATCTATATAGTGTTGTTACAATATCTATATATCGGTGTAATAACGGATATACTAATAAACATCAGTTATCCAGTATATAATATCGAAATGAAGAACATACCAGATAAAGAACACAAAAGTAAATTTTAAGTTATCCAGATAAAACAGTTCTCCATCTGGTTTGGTTTAATATTAAATAAATACAATTTTTAATATTAAATAAGATGAATTAATAATAAATAAGAGATAGTCTATATATATATATATATATAGAGTGTAGTTCCCGGCATGGAATAGGCCATCCCATCCTTTCCAGTAGGTATCGTAAAGGACGACTAAGAGAGCTTTTGGGGGAGGGACGAGCAGTAGCGTCTCTCTTAAAACATAACCAAAAGCCAAACTGTGGCTACTGCCTGTCAAGCGTGGCAACAACTGACAAAATTCCCCTTATATGGGAGACTATGTCCAGCAGTGGACAGTTAACGGTTGATACAAGAAAAAAAGTGGGGGGACCGTTACATTATCATCCATTATAAAAAAAAAAAACAATAAAATAAGTGACATCTAATATATAAAATTCTCGTGTCGCGGTGTTTGTTACCATACTCCTCCGAAACGGCTTTACCGATTTTTATGAAATTTTGTGTGCATATTGGGTAGGTCTGAGAATCGGCCAACATCTATTTTTCATACCCCTTAATCATAAGGGTGACCTACTCCTAAAAATTAATTATTTATTTTATTGACAAATTTTTTTATTTTTATTTTATTATGATTTAGAATTGAAAAATACATACAACTCCAAATTTTCACGCTTTTACGATCAACCCATGTTTTTCAATCGCGAATTTATATGCCGCAATAGGTTTACAAGATGACAATTGAATATAATAATTGTAGTACGATATATTTTCATGTATAGTTCTAGAAATAATGTATATGGTAAAACAATGTTTGCCGAGTCAGTTAGTTATTTTATATAAATGAAAATAGGTGGTTGAACTATCGTAATGAATTAACGATAAGGGACTTTTGCCTATTTTGCCTCAATGCCATAGATATAGCTGACGTTTAAACTTGCAAGTGATTATATTGTTTTCAACCAATCAACATATTAATTGTTATAAATCAATCCTGTGAATTCAGTACAAACTGCTCGCGTCTAAATGTAGATTCGTAAAGCTATAAAGTGAGAAACATTCCCATCAACTGATTTACAAGTGATACTAGTAGAATCGAGCTTAGTGTACTGGGGAAGTGCGAGAATCATTGATCTGTGTAAATAATAACAGCTCGTTTACTTCCAGACTCGTCTAAATATAATCATCGAATATAATACGTAGATCATCATCAGCCTACGCTTATCCTAACTATTGTCTGGTTTTGGGGGAAATGGATTGTTAGCAATGGAGTTTGACAGCCCCATTACTAGCAATATGCCCTATTAGGTCGACCTTCACGTGTTTCCCCCTGGAAACCATCGTGAACAATTCTTGTTGAATTCGTCACGATGGGCCAACTGACCTGCTTCATCCTCACCTATCATTCTTCACTGGTGCTCCGCCAGCGTATCCCGATAGCGCAGGCGGGATTACCATTCCATTATCACGCATTAAAAAAAAAACTATGGTATCAGCGTAAGTAGCTTTTCTTTTTCTTTTTCTTTATTTTCAGTCATTTCCGCATTCACTTCCATTCTGGCCATATCATTTTTCACACAGTCCGTCCAAGTCTTTTTAGGTCTCCCTCTACCCTAATAGCCACATTAATACTTAATACCTTTCTTAAAACATACTCCTCATCTCTGTGCATCTCGTATCCATACCAAATTAGAAAGAATATAATAAGTAAATATTATGGTAAATTAAATTTATTTAAAATAAATTTCAAATGTTCAAAGTCCTTTTTTAATTGCAAATCTATCAGCTTTTTTTCAATGAGTGTATAAAGGATATTTTTAAATTACCCAATTAAGTATATAAATTTTAAATAAAACGAGCATATTGCATTACGTTCATTAGCACAGGGAAATGGGACAGTTGTTACAGAGAATGTCAATATTAGAGACAAAGCTAAAGCGAGCCGGGGGAGATACGTAACAGTCGCTGCATAAAAGCATCTAACAAATCCATCTCACGGTGTTCCAGATATGTCGGGCGCACAAATGGCCGAATAAAACCACTGCGAGGACCCCCCTTTGTGATACGGCATTTATCTCCCAGCAAAGTTTCCTTAATGTGAGCAACACTCATTGATCTACGTTCACTTTGAGTTCGAGTTATAAAATAAATTCGGATATTGGAAAACATACCCGTCAGAAGCAACAATCACCATTATTGTTACCTTTTGTGTATGTTTTATGTATGTTTCATGGCAAATATTGAGCTATTGTGTTGGACATTACGTTGTATGTAATGATTAGAATTAACACTTATTGTGATACAGGTAAAATTAAATGCAATTTGCTTCATTTTGCCATCTTGCAATCCTATTGCAGAACATAAAAATAGCGCTTAAAAAACAGGGGTTGCTCGTAAAAGGGTGAAAATTTAAAGTTGAATGCATTTCTCAATGCTAAATCTTAATAAAATAAAAATAAAAAAAATTGACAAAAAAAAAAAAGAAATTTAGCTGTGCGTCACCCTTATCATTGAGGGGTATAAAAATAGATGTTGGCCGATTCTCAGACCTACCCAATATGCACACAAAATCTCATGAAAATCGGTAAAGCTTCAGAGGAGTTTGGTAACAAACATCGTGACACGAGAATTTTATATATTAGATATATATACATATATAATATA